GTGTGTGTGTGTGTGTGTGTGTGTGTGTGTGGCAGGGGGAGGGAGGGGGAGCAGCAGGCAGATGCTGAGGAGAGAGGAGCAGGACGGAAAATACAACAAGTGAGTGAACTGTTGCTCCGCTAATAAACTGACTCGGTTCCGGCGGTTCTTCACGGTAAAAGTGGGTCAAAAAATGTTCCGACAGAAAACTCGGATCTTTTCCGGGGGATTTCTGCACATCTGTGACTCGTAAAAATAGTTTTATTATYAATCTTGGTCTTTTCTCGGATTGCCTCGGGTTTGCACGTTTTAATCAAGAGAAGAGGAACTCCTGTGTTTTTTTTTCTTTTTTTCCTTTTTAAGTTAAGTTTTAAATTAATAATTTTTGACTCCGGTTCTGGAGAGCTGAAATTGGACCGAAGAGCGCAACTTCGGCGCTCTGCAGGATTTTCATGCACCGGGTCCCGGAGCAGTTTGCAGCCTTTCTATCGGAACCAGCAGCGCATTGAAGATGGACAGAACATAGGAACAAGAAGAAAAACAAACCTCTGGGTAAGCTGGTTTATTAAAAGTTTTTGAAATTATTATTATTATTTTTCTCAGTCTGATTGCAGCTGAATTTATTTGAACTATTTTAAAAACTGATCCAATTAGCAATTAAATGACCATAAAACCAATTAAACTTATTTGGACTTTCCAAGACGGATTTAAGCTCATGAATATAAATATTGTTTTTAATCAGTTTTAAGCAATTTGTTTTGTTAAAATCCAAATTTTGCAAATGCAAATTGAAGGCTTTTTAAAATTGCTACAGTATATYAGATTTTTTTGTGTGTGTTTAGGTCGAAGTAATTTCCTTATTCTGYGTGTTTTCTTTTCTCTCCAGATTGTAAGAGAATATTTTTGTTCTGGGAAGTGTGTGATAAATTAATTGTTGCTCCATCCAAGCTGCCTTTAAAAGACCTGGTCCTCTTTGTGAGCTGTAACATGATCTGCAGGATCCGATCAGTTTTTTTTTCGTAGACAAATTCAATAAAGCTGAGTGAGCGCAAAGAAGAGAAAAAAGAGGAGATTTTTAGTTCTTCTCTTCTCGTCCCCAGACAGACGAGTGAAGAAGAGTCTTTTCCCTGCATGTGGTGGGTGAGATGAACTCCTGTGGGATTACTGTAGACCCCACCTGACAGCTCCCCCACCTGAGCAACTGAAGGGTTCTCCTCTGGATCTTCCACAACAACATACAGCTGTACACAGAAAACCCCCCAACAGAAATCTTGAAATCTAACATCTGGGAACACATTAAGTTATTTTACCTTCAGGTCAAAGTCCTCAAACACTGTGAACCAGGAAAAAAAAAGATTCAAACAAAGAAGAACAAGAAATGGGAAAAACCTATTTGCTTTTCTCCCCCTGACTGGCTTTCTGACTGTCCCAGTCCTCGAACAGCTTGAGTTTATTCACTCTGTCCCATAAAATCCTATTTTTTCACCTCTGCTTTCTCGACTGAGTAGAAACCTTCTGCCCAGAGGTCAGTCTGGCCGGCACAACCATTCCAGCCAAAGCGGAGGAGGACTTCCTGACGCTGGCCGCCTCACGGCTCAGTCGGAAGAAACGTGTCATTGGGGCTGGAGTCGGCGTGGCCATGGTCCTCGTCCTGCTGGTGGCCATCCCCCTATTGGTCCACACCACCAAGGGGGCAGGGTCCGGAGGTGGGGGCACGCATTACGAGATGCTCGGGAGCTGCAAGATGGTGTGTGACACTTTAAGCCCCCCACAGGGAGAGCTGACAGCTGTCTCCCCTCAGCCTCCAGACTTCCCAAACCGGAGGCCCAAACAGGGCTTCAGAGGCAGCCCCGGACTTCCTGGGCCCCCAGGTCCCAAAGGTCCACCCGGAGAGCCCGGTAAGCCCGGTCCACCTGGTCCACCGGGGCCCGGACCCAACGGTTATGGCTCCTCCCTCTACTCTCCTAAAATCGCTTTCTACGCCGGCCTCCGGAAGCAACACGAGGGCAGCGAGATCCTGAAGTTCGACGACGTGGTGACCAACGTGGGGAACTACTACGAGCCGAGTACAGGCAAGTTCACGTGTCCTCTGTCCGGTATCTACTACTTCACCTACCATGTCCTGATGAGAGGGGGGGACGGGACGAGCATGTGGGCCGACCTGAAGAAGAACGGACAGGTGAGTGAGGGTGATGAGTTTCTCTCACCATAACTAACATTTACAGGTTTGCTGCAAATTATGAAACAGTTCCAAACAGGGAAACTATATCAGTGAACACTGCAGGCATGTTTTACAAGCTGTTATTTTCTTCAGAATGCACATTTTGCATTTTTATTTTATTATCAAAAATATATTTTGTTTTTTGTTGATTTGTTTCGTAAAAACTCATCAAATAACCCAAAATTGGATTCTGTYTGTGTCATGCATGGTAAAAACGTATCTAGGTTTACTTTTTCAGAAATAATCATTATTAGCAGAAATATTTTTTTATTGGTAATGGGCATTTTGAAATAATTGGTTAATAAAGAACCATTTCTTATTGGGTTTTAAACATTGCTTTAATCTGCTACACAGTTTTTTAAAGCATCTGAAAACAAAACAAAACAAAACAAAAAGCTGATCAAACAGCTCAATATTACACACATTTCCACACACACACCCACACACACACACACACACACACACACACACAC